GATGCATAAATGTGAGGCTAGTTCAACGTGTTTGATGTGTGAGCAATCTCCGCAAGCAGTGTCAAACTCAGTTTTCTGAGTCCAACCGATACCTCGGACCCATGCGTTACATACATTGGTCAGAGATCAAATGGGAGCCTGTAGGATTAATGGGGTAGATAGACAAAACCTTTACAGCTCAGTTGATTGAGGCAAGCCAACCGTATCCAATCGGAATTCAGCTCGTTGGTGAGAATAACTCTTAGATTCGGAGAACATTATTAACCGCGCTAGAAAACAGTCAGTATGCCTGAGACTGTCAGAAGACACAGTTGTAAGAATATACTTCAGGAATGCCACTCGTGAAATCGGTGGGACTTGAATGACAAAGGAGTGGGAACAAAGAAAGGAATCTTCAAAGGTACATATTTGCTCGATTCTTGCAAACATTACAGCGCCGTAACTGTAAGTACTGATATTATGTTTTACCCAATTACTGGGATTGTTTAGTATAAAGAATTACTTTGTATTGTTTTATATATGTGCTTGTTTGATAACGAACCCGTCGCAATGGGGGCTCGTCCAACTCGCCACTAATTTGAACCATTTCCAGTAACCAATGGCGTCAGGCAGGGTTGTGTTTTGACACCGACAGTGATCCGTCTATTGTTCTACGCTCTGCTGACCAATGCTTTCAGAGACGGAGATGCTGAAGTCGTCATCAGGTACAGTACATATGGAAAGCTGTTCAACCTCAGGCGGCTTCATACGAAAACCAAGGTTATGACAGACACCATCAGGGAGTTATTATTTGCTGATGACTGCGTTCTCAGTACTGGCTCTGAAGTCGACCTTCAACGCAGGGTTGCCAAGATCTCCAGTTCCTACATAAGCTTTGGTCTCATCATAATAACTACGAGGACTGAAGTACTGCATCAGCCGGCCCCGAATAAACCCTATGTTGAGCTCAACATCACCGTCAACAGCCAAAACCTCAACGTAGTGAAGCGCTTCACCTACTTTGTCAGCACACTATCACAGAGTCACTGTTGACGACGAGGTGAACTTCCACATTGCTAGAGCCAACGCCCACTTCGAATTAAAGGTCTACAGGACAGTTGTGCTCCCCACACTACTTTAGGCATGCGAAACGTGGACGGTGTATCAATGGCATGCCAGGACGCTGAACCACTTTTACACCACAAATCTTAGGAAAATCAGCAACATCAAGTGGCAGGACTAGGTCCCAGACACCGAGGTACTCGCCCAAGTAGGTCTCCCCAGCATCCACCCCATCAGTACCAGCTACTTTGAGCGGGACATGTTATACGCATGCCGTACCACCAGATGCCTATGAGACTCTTCTATGGCAAGCTACAGCAAGGACAGCGATCACACGGAGGTCAGAAAAAAACGCTTCAAAGACAATTTGAAACCTGCATTGAAAGCGTTCAATAGAAATCCTGATTCATGGGAGCAAACAGCCAGCGATCGAGTCACTTGGCGTACCTACCTGCACAAAGGCTCCAATTTGTGCGAATCTAACCAGAAAACCACGCGCCAACAACCCTCCTGGAGATGTCCCACTCATCCCCTTTCCTCCTTTATGCAACCGAACCTTCCGTGCAAGGATTGGCCTTATCAGCCACCTGCGCACGCACAGAACAGAACTAACCCCTCCAACTCATGGATGACTAGAGTGGTCTTCGTGGACTCAACGGACGAACAAGAAGAAGAAGAGTACCATTTTTATAAATCTTTGACTTGACTCGGTCATGTTTCGAATCTGTGACATCCCGCAATGAATACCTACTCTAAAACCACTTAGGCCACAAAAGCGGTCGATACAATATAATAAGTAGGAAATCATTTTATTATCGCAAAAAGTCACTATTATTGGATTGAAATTTTCATTCATTAATAATTTTTGTTAATTTTGTTAATTTTCTTTTCTTACGTTCGTTATTAGTATCACGCTCGCTGGGTCCAGGTTATTACAAAACGTATATTATAAAGCGTTTGATGTGTAAACATCACCTCTAGCAGTGTTAATCGATTCTGCAAGACGCCAGTGCTTGTAGTCCTCACACCCAGGGCGTTAAACATTGGTCCAGGGATCAAATGAAGTCCGCTGAGTGAACGGGGTGTTTTCTCACCCGCTACTTAGAGAAACAAGCGAGAAGACATTGACCGCTAAAAGTTTGACTGGGACAGTCCACAGCGACATCCAATCGAAATCTTAGATCCAAATTATAGCTAAAACCTCATATTAATTTTTATCAGAAGATGCCTAGATCGCTGTGCAAATAGGACTACTACGAGAAATACCAATCGTAATTTGGCGGAAATCCTAGGACCAGAATTGTAAGAGAAGGAAAAGCTTAGACAAAGTCAGTTAGCTCTTTGCTGTTTTTTTTTTTTTTTTTTTTTTTTTTTTTTTTTTTTTTTTTTTTTTTTTTTTTTGCGAAACATTACGGTGTCATAATTGTAATTATTGGTAGTATGTATAGCTAACTGGGGTTGTTTTAGTATGTAGAATTACCTTGAAGTGTTTCATTTATAAGCGTATTTGAGACATTAATTGTAGTAAACGTAGAAAATTGTGTAGATTGCTAGCTCGTCAGAGTTAATATTATAATTCGCTGGTAGGTTACTTCGTAGTAACCAGTACCTTTAGTAATGCATTAGGTTAGAGTTTATGCATGTTTGAATTGGATTTTAGGAAAACAATTGAAGTATGTAAGACTAGTTGCAATAGATGTGTGAATATATCAGACCGTGGATATTTATATATTTGGTATGAGTTGTGAGGATAAAGATATGCATCTGATTGTTGTTTATTCGTCTGTGTAATGATTTTATGGGTATGTACTGATGTGAATTACTTTATTGTTGTATGTATAAGAGTAATTGATACCACGCTTTTATTATACTGTGTTGTTATGTTTTATTTTGCCATGCTAGAATGTATGCGTGTTTCGGTGTAGTCGACATAGAAAAAAAATAGCAGAAGGGGAGGAGGAGGTAAGAGGCCTGCATGAGGAAATAGAAGAGGAGGAGAAGAAGGAACTTGGAAGGAGTCAGAGAGGACGAGAGGGAATTAGAAGATAGAGAGGCATAAACAGATGAGTAGAATTTAATGACAGTTGGAAATCTTTCACACTACAATTCAAATGATGCTATAGGCTAGAAAAGGGTGAGCGAAGAAATTTATTTGGTAAATTCGAATTATTGAACATTTAATTGTTATTAAATTGTTATTATTGAACTTCACACTTTTTGTATCTTTAATCATTTAACCATCGTTAATGCTGACTGGGGGCTCAAAACTATACATCTAACTTGCACTAAATCAACTTCCAAACCAAAATCGATCCTGGGTGGGACGTCTACAATAATCTAAATAAATATTGGAAGTACCCCACCCCCAAACCCTTAAATCAATACCTCAGTGGGAGCGAAGTTTTACAGTTAGGTTATTTATGTAAAGCACTTTCACGTAAAAAAAATCAGACCCCAAAACCAATTAGTCTCATGGTGGAATATCTTTTAAGCAGTATTACAGCAAACCTTGCTACCTCCAGATATTAACTAAAATTTAAATATAACTTTTTTGGGGATTTAACTTTTGCAGTTAATATTCAATAAAGCTATGACAGAGAAATAAAAAATGAGAAGGAAAATAATTAGACGGGGAGGGCAAAGATCATTTGTAATACATTTTTACAAGCTCATAAAAAGTTGATTTAAAGTGATGTACCTTGTCGAGATTTTGCAGAGAAAACAGTTTAGTAACATGAACATCAGTAACATGAATTTTCAACTTATTATCTTTGGTCATACGCTACCACCTAAGAACATTTAAGCATAGATTTTAAGAGATTTCATATACAGAGAGAGAGAGAGAGAGAGAGAGAGAGAGAGAGAGAGAGAGAGAGAGAGAGAGAGAGAGAGAGAGAGAGAGAGAGAGAGAGAGAGAGAGAGCATGTGTGTGTGTGAATTTTGATCGATGCAAGCTTAGTGTTGAAGAAAGCAATAACCTGAAGGGAGAAAAATCATACCGAGTGACAAAATTGCCTCAGATTATTTCCATTATCCGTTCTGACGTGGGACCCTGTATATTATATTATAAAAGAGACAAGATAAGTAACTTCCAAAACTTCATTTCACCCTTGACCTTCAATTTCCTTCTGCTTTTTTCGTTTTTGAAAGAACACGACCATAATCTATGGATTGTTTTATTCCTTAGATGTTTTTTTCTATTCATAAAGCCGTAATTAATTTTTCCGAATTGCACCTAACTAACGTTGCGGTCTCCGAAAAGTACGAATTTCGCTAATTTTGTAGAACGTAATATGATTGGTTCAAAAGGTAACATGATGATCCAGACGAATGGCTGCCAATTAAATATTAGTCTAGTCCCCTGCTTAGTATGCTCTCTGCGATGCATAGCGGAGTGCATCGCAGGGAGCATACTAAGCAGGGGACCAGACTATTTAAATATTACTTTTTAACCCAATCATATTTCGCCGTTAGCGTGTGTGCCGCTTAGTCCGAATATTTTGAAAATGAGTACTGTGTATTCGAGTTGCGTGTAGTTAGATAATTCTTCTATGGATCTGAATTCCTAAGCTGAATAGAGTTTAATGGTAAGTAGGAAAATACTTTTGTATCCACCATTGTTCTCAGATTAATAAAGGAATGTACGTAAGAGTTGCAAATACCGTATCTCTTAGTGAAATAGGGCAGGTGGTTCTTTAGGAGTGTAACTTTGTTCTGGCAAAATTCACGAAATTCATACGTTTCGGAGCCCGTAACTTGGTACAACTCAGAAAAATCGATGACGAACTGATGAACAGAAAAATATCACAAGAGTAAAAACTAATACAGAGTATGGTCATGAGCCTTCAAAGACGGAAATAACAGAAGGAAATCGGGGTCAAGCATAGAACAAAGTTTTTTTTTTTGAAGTTACGTAACTTGTCTCGTTTATAGTACTATATACAGGGTCCAACCGCTCCGATGGCCTAATGGTTAGAGTGTCCGCTTTGGATTCGGGAGGTCGTGTGTTCGAACCCCGTCAAGTCATACAAAAGACTAAAAAATGGCACTAACAGCTACCTTGCTTGGCACTCAGCATTAAGAGATTAATGTTAGGACTGGTTTGCCTGGTGTCAGTATAATGCGATTGGGTGGGACATCATGCCACATGTCTGTGTCATGATACCACAGTGCTAGATATCTCTATAAACTGTCACATTGCAGACATCGTAGTGATAAGACTGAAAAAAATGTATTAAAGCTACGTTAAAAAAATCTAAATCACACACACATATAGACACGGTCCTATGTCAGAACAGGTCATGCGGGTAATCAGGTGCAATTTTGTCACTGTGTTTATTTTTCTTCACCTTCACATTATTGCTTTTTTATCTCTCGTCGATCACGTGTGGATTTTTACTTTAGTTTTATAAAAAAAATTCAGTCATATCGCTACGGTGACTGCTATGAGGAGGTATACAGTGATGTCTAGCACTGACGTATCGTGCCGCAGACATGTAGCACGATGGCCTACCCAGTCACATTATCTTATCCTGACACCAGGCCGACCACTCCTATCACTAACCTCTTAATGCTGAGCGCCTAGCGAGGAAGCTGTTAGTACTACCTTTATAAGTCTTTGGGTTCGAATCCGCGACCTCTCTCATTGTAGGCGAACGTTGTACCACTAGGCCACCAGAGCGGTGTGTGAGAGAGAGAGAGAGAGAGAGAGAGAGAGAGAGAGAGAGAGAGAGAGAGAGAGAGAGAGAGAGAGAGAGAGAGAGATCTTATGGCCACGTTATAATAAGTAGGATGGTTTAATGTTTCCCACACTAGCATTTAATTCATTCGGTTTCTTATTTATTTTTGATGCTGATAGATGCATTGGTTAGATTTCACATTTACAGAATTGGTGGTTATATTCAGGTTTTACGTATTCCACTCCCATAAATCCACTTTTCTCCAATGAATGTATCGGTATGGGTAAGAATTAACAACTGTTTACTTCTTGTCTATGTTTATGACCACTTTAAGAAGAGATTTCAAGCTATGCGGAAGTTTTGTTAGTCAAAAACGTACTCGTGGTAACAAAGTATGCATTGTAGCACGTATCACATAGTTCTTATTAAATACATAAAAACGCGACTTCATGACGTATGAACACTAATTAATACACACTAATTGTCGAGTCCAAGATACTTGCCATGGTGCATTGGTAAAAAAGATAATAAACCTCTACGCTTAGGTGAGCCAGTAATATACCTAGAAATATATGAATCTGCAACAAAGTCCGAGTTCGCCCTGTCTTTTCCCACCCAACTTTAGGCATTTGGACAATTATGTTCGTCTCCGCTTTCTCTTACCTTTCCCCACCCCGTTTTAGATATTTGGAAAATTATGTCGAAATTACATCTTTCTCTGATCTTTCCCCACCCCGTTTTAGATATTTTGAAAATTATTTTGGAATCCCATCGTTCTCTGGCCTTTCCCAACCCCGTTTAAGATGTTTGGAAAACTATTATGTTGGAATCCCATCTTTCTCTCACTTTTCCCCACCCAGTTTTAGATATTTTTGGAAAATTTTGTTAGAATCCCACTTGTATTATCTCACTCAGTATAATACTATTTTCTCTTCTTTTTTTAAAACAAATATTTGTCTCGCAGAGTGGGAGTCGGGTGGGTGGGTGGCTAAAAGAAACCGCTCACATAGATGTAAAGCTACTTGTTACTTGAAATTTTATCATTGTTTTATTCTTGCGCACGTTTATTGGGTGGTATGCATACTTTGAGTATGGGTATACAGACTTTTGATTTGGTGCCCTTTCGAGTCAAATCGGGTTCCTTGGAAACTCATCCACTCCCACCATATCCCAACTCTTGACCTGATTCGACCCTTTGTCATCTCTTTAAAAAGTTGACACATGAGACAAATTTGCTGTGTTTCCAAAACTGAACAACTAAAAAAAACTATTTTTATATTCGAGTAGCGGCTTTTACATGGATTAAATATATTTTAATTCTTATATCTAAAGAAAATAAATTATTGTCTCATCGATTTGGTAATTTCACCCAAGCCTAATACTGCCGGTAGTACGCGGTAATCACGTGGTTTCGGCAAATTCCAACTTTTTAATAGGCACTAAACTGTACTTAATTTTCTAGTTATTTTACACGGGGTGGGGAAACTCAGAATATATGCAATACTGATAGTGTAACTCTTTTACTGTATGGTCTCAAACAAGTTCTTGTCAGTCATGGTGTTCCATCTTATATTTATCAATTCGATAACGACTTATATGTCACAGGGCATAAGATTTGACAACAGTTTATTTTAATATTGTAGCCTACTTTTACCAATGTATAATTTGGTTTCGTATAACTAGTTGACAACGTCAAGTTAGAACACAAAAAGCGAAGTATTCTGGGCACAGTGTTTGGTGCAATCAAATATTATCTGTTACAGTGTATATTCTGAGGTTGTACGGGTCAGTCAATCGTCATTGGGAGTCACCACTGGAAGCTCAGAATTTCAAAAGGAGTACGCCGAATTCAGAGGCGGGTCCTGGAATATTTGAGTGTGCAAGGGGGAAGAGGGCCGGAATAAGTAGACAAAGGTTTTTGGGATGGAACCCCTAGTGGGTAACAAGGTGCCAAATCCCCAGAAATCCTTCCATTTAAGTCTTTCCCGGGCAAAATTTTAAACTAACTGTAATGAAATCTTGCTCTCGGAAATGTTCCGTGCGTTTATTGTTCATATTTCGTTTTGGATTGTGGGTGGAGGGGTACGGAAGCACGACTGCCCCTCCGCTGCGGATCTTAAGATGCACCAAAGAACTACACGTTCTTTTAAACATCCGAACTAATGTGATTTATGTTGTTTCTAAATTTGTTTTACAAAATTCACTTTGTCCACAAAAAGAGTTTTATTGACCGGAGAAACAATGCTTGGAAAATTTGATGGAAGAGCTAGAGTAAATAACGAGCACCAACGTCATGTGGCAAAGTAATGTTCCACTATTAGCTAATATTTATTGTTATATATGCTGTATTACATGTGGGTTGATAACCAATGAATGGAACAGTGTGCTTTTTGCTTCATTGTATGATTTCAGTGCGAAGCCATAATATAGAACTTAGCCTGGATTGTCCCACAGAAAGTCCCTTAGAATTGGCAAAGTTTCGGTTTACCCGTGACAAACAACCATGACTTACATAGATAAAAGCACTGCTTACTTGCTATTTATAGCACCATTCAAAGGGCACAATGCAGTACTAGGTAGAATAATGCATACATATTAGTAACTTCATGACCTGGGACCGGCTCTTATTAAGCGTTAAGCGTTGCATATGTGCAGCAATTAATATGGACAAATTTTATTTTGCTGGCATGTGTCGCCTCTCCAATCTGACGATGATATAGTTGATCAGTCTTAAGAGTAACGCCAATATCCATGTCAGTATCCACCTCAGCTATTCTGAATTCAATTATTTTTAAGAGACCAACCATTATATATGGAGGTGGGGATGCAAATAAGAGCAAAAATATTTGTTTCAAGTTTTTTTTTTAGGGCAGAAAAATTTCATGCACAAAAATCCATAAAAATGAAATGGTCAGACCTTTACAAAGAAAATTAGGAGTGGGGTGGGCGGGTCTCTAACCTTTAACAATATAACACAAGGGAAGACACTAGCCCCCACCCCTCGGTAGTTCCAACCCTACTAGTTAGATTATCCTATTTGCATCTGCTCATATCCAACTTACGCCAGTCATAAGCAAGAATAGTTCATTTTTCAAAACAGCTAGACACACTTCGTTCAGTGTGATATATTGGAGAAAATGCAACAATTGTTCGCCGACTTTAACGTATGGACAAGTACTGGTCTGGCAGTGCTATTTGCATTCGAATAGTCTAGGATTTCCCCATTGACCGAAAGAGGTTTAGGTGGCATGGTACAGTTTCGTAAATTGGCCCCTGGCAAATTTCTTAAATTAAGGTTAGGGATATATTTGTGAACTAGGCGTGTTTTGGGCTTGTGTTGCTCTTGAAATTATTGTAAGGCATGTACACCTTCCATAGTTACTCAGCAGTATGTTTATAGTGATATACCAATAGTTGGCTAGGAAGAAGAGCTAGCCTCCCATAGCAGTAAACACATGGGTTTGGGGCAAGTATGATATCTTAAAAACGACTAGGATGACAACTATTTTCAACTGCATCAGCCTGTACACACTGTTTTGCAGAATTGTCATCTAGGACAAGGGCTTATGTTTGCACTGTGAGCATCACATGGTGTCGAAAATGACCTTCGGACATGATAATTGCTAGTATAACTTTAGGGTTGGGGTGCACAAACTTCTGCTATGAACTACCACTTACTTCTCTAGTCAAATGGATACTATTTTTATGCTTTGTTTTAATATAGGTATCTGAAAATATGGACCTTCTCGACCTCACTTGTGTATTTGATTTTTTATGATTTTTGTACTAGACCACTAACTGCGGCATTAAATTTGTACATAAAACTGGCCCCTGCCCCCATAGATTAGAGGTTCTTTGGTTATCACCTTTCGATCATTGGTGAAATCCAAAACTATCCGAATGATATAAGACAGCATCTAACGCCAAAAGAGTGGCATAATTGTTTGATCCCAAGAGAAAAAAAAAATCCTGACACGTATTTGCATTTGTTTTCTCTAGTTGTATCTATCTCTGTCATTCGTGGTAGAAATAAGCGCATAGTTTGCATTCGTTGTTACATAATGCTTATATATTGTGTCGTTAACATTGTTCGAATTGTGAATATCAGATGCATAGAGACAACGCCATATCATACACAACCTTCAAAATAGTCTTCCATCAATCTACCGTAGATGACTAAACTTCAAACAGCTTGAAGAGTCAGTAATGAACTTTATATTTACGTATTCTTTGTACATCATTTGATTTGTCTAATCTTGAGCAACAAATCAAATATTTTAGTTAATGTAGACTCCAATGTACCCACTAGAATGCTGTTGCAATGAAACCAGTCTAATATGACACCGAATCATATTTCCATTGCAACGAAACCTGTCTAGTATGACCTCAAATTACATTTCTATCATGACTCAATGGTCTTAGACTATGTAACATAAAATGTAAAATGATAAAGTTTAGTAAAATTCAAGAAATAGTTTCTTTTTCGTAAATTACAACGTGAAAATTGAAAAGGAACGGCTTTGTAAATTAAATCCCAAAGAAAATACATTTTCTATCTCAAGTCCAATAGAACAACGTTTTTCAGGTGTTGAATATGCTGATGTCCAAACATAACTAAAAGTGATTCCACAAGGACTGATGTTGAAATAGGAATGAATAATTGTTTACTTGGTCTTTTAACATACAGACTGTAACCTGACTTATGACGTAACACAATTTCATAAACAAGGTCAGATCAGTTTACCTAATCTTAAGAATAACAATCGGATAACAATCAGGCAGACCATAGTTTTTTTTTCCAAGGGTAAAACCAATGTCCTAAACTTAAATCCAAGTAAACATATTTTTACTAAATGACATTAGTCAAGTAGACCCAAAATCCTTCAGGCAATTACGGAGAAAGATCAAGCATAAAATGCAAATTAAATATGCATACCTATTATCAAGGAAGCAAACTGCATATAAACATTTGCATGTTCTTTATTTTTGAAGAGTATGTGTTAAATAAACAAGCGTTTTTCTGTGGCCATTTATATACAAAATGATATGCTTGACAGTTCCTGTGTTATTATTTTGGGGATATCAGTCGATTTACCAGTAAAATACCGATTTCACCCCTTAATAAAAATAATAATAATAATAATAATAATAATAATAATAATAATAATAATAATAATAATAATAATAATAATAATTTCATCTTGCAGATCGTTCTGGCGTAACCTATGACGTTTTTAATAATGTAAACGAAATTTCATGTAAAACGGACAGGAAGATTTGAGGATAATTTAAGGAATAAATATTGGTTGCATTCATAAGAAGATTTATTGCAATTAGTGCTGGTTGAAAACAAGACTTTCAAAAATATGTTTTATTGAGCTCCTTTATTGGTTTATTTGTCACATGGATGTGATAATTTGGCATTACTATTACATTACTATCATTATTAACTTATTATTATTATTATTATTATTATTATTATTATTATTATTATTATTATTATTATTATATTATTATTATTAGTAGTAGTAGTAGAAGTAGTAGCAGCAGTAGTAGTAGTTGTTGTAGTATATATACTTCTTAATCATCATGTAAAATTTGGCATTTTCATAACTAATTAGTGTAAAATCATTTAATGAAACTGTGTGATACATGAAGAAATTATCTAACTATAGCGAACAAATGCACAAAGAAATATTTAATTTTGTGAAATTGAAAAGAAAAGATTACACAAGAAAATACATTTCAGGATTCACTTTTATTTGAATGTACTTGACAGTGAGTCGACAGTTAATTTAGTTTATATAGTTGATCTTAGCTACTTCTGTGTGCGTGTGCATGTGCGTGCACAGTTGTGTGTGTGTGTGTGTGTGTTATACACGTCCTGGTACTTAACTAACTTTGAGCTAGTTTCCATCAGGCCTATCTTGGACCGCGGATGCTACTACAACAATGACAGTGCAAAGTATACGCCATGCTTTGTTTCATTTCAATTTAAATAATGTCATTGTGAAAATATAATTACTAGAATCCGTGGTTTACTAGTTAACATGTGTATGACAGATAATGTAAAATCCATTTACGTGATGTAAATTATATAATATTTTTGTTGGAAATCCCTTTCTATTCCATCCTCAATGTTTGTGTGATAAAAATGTCACAATTTAGTACACAAACAGTCGTGCTACAACGGTTCAATGTCGATAACAATGTTTTTAAAAAGTTTTATTTGCATTGGATTTACTATGAATGGTATTTTGTGGAGTATGCATTCCTTTTAGATTAATCATTTCAATTAAGATATATACAACATGTGCACGTATGATGAAAAAATTAACAACACTAAAATTAAAAGTAGTTGATATATTGCGAGCTGAACAATCCTGAAATTCAAATAACAGGAACTACTTTGAAACCAAAAATTGAAATAACAGGAACTACATTTTACACCAAAAATTAAAAAAACAGGAACTACTTTTACACCAACAATTAAAAAAACAAGAACTACTTTTTACACCAAAAATTCAAATAACAGGAACTACTTTTAAACCAACAATTAAAATAACAGGAACTACTTTTTACACCAAAAATTCAAATAACAGGAACTACTTTTACACCAAAAATTCAAATAACAGAAACTACTTTTACAACAATTCAAATAACAGGAACTACTTTTTACACCAAAAAATCAAATGACAGGAACTACTTTTTACACCAAAAATTCAAATTCCAGTTCTCAGAATATATAAACCTCAAAATTATTTGGACTAGTCAGGCTTGAGTATTCTAAAAATTACTTTAAAAAGTAATAAATTACAGCTAGGGTATGATGACAGTTAATTAATACTTAATAACAATTTGAATCATTTCATACATAATAAATAATGGTACACATCTGCAATACATTGATTGCAACAGTTTGAAAGCAATAGTATATCATGAAATACATCCGGTTGTTGCATACAAAAGCTATATTTTAAACAAAAGTGATGATGATGTGAGAGATCTCCCACTTCATTTCGTGTTTTGGGTATAGTTATCTAATTGATGATCGATCCCAGTTTGTTTGCTCAAATCTAGAAAATAATATATGAAATTAATTGATGAAATAGCAGAAATCTTAGCAGATATAGATAATAGAACAAAATTAGCGATTCATTGATATAAATATAGTAAAATCAATTCTTATCGTGTAAGACAGATAATTAATTCTGACAATTCGTATCAGAGTAGTGCATAAAATTGATTCAATACTTTACTACATTAATGTTGGGATTGTTATTGTTTGAAGCAAGTGCAAGTTGATTGATTAATAGACATATCGATTTAAAGCAAGAAAATGATAAAAAAATTATGTATTGGTTGCTTTAGTTGATGCGCTGAGTACCCTGAACAATAATTGTTTCAACAGCTGTTATCACCAGGGTCTCTTTCATAAAATAAAGGTGGAGGTGATAAAACATTTTACAATACTGTTCAAACTCTTTTCAATAATGAATGTAGGTATATTATACGATTCATCCAATAATGAATGTAGGTATAATATATAATACAGTCAATAATGAGTGTATGTATATTATATGATTCAGTCAAAAAGGCATGTAGGTATATTATATGATTTAATCCATAATGAATGTAGGTATATTATATAATACAGTCAATAATGAATGTAGGTATATTATATGATTCAGTCAATAATGAATGTAGGTATATTATATAATACAGTCAATAATGAATGTAGGTATATTATATGATTCAGTCAATAATGAATGTAGGTATATTATATGATTTAGTCAATAATGAATGAAGGTATATTTATATGATTCAGTCAATAATGAATGTAGGTATATTATATGATACAGTCAATAATGAATGTCGGTATATTATATGATTCAGTCAATAATGAATGTAGGTATATTATATGATTCAGTCAATAATGAATGTAGGTATATAATATGATTCAGTCAATAATGAATGTAGGTATATTATATGAATCAGTCAATAATGAATGTAGGTATATTATATGATACAGTCAATAATGAATGTAGGTATATAATATGATTCAGTCAATAATGAATGTAGGTATATTATATGAATCAGTCAATAATGAATGTCGGTATATTATATGATTCAGTCAATAATGAATATAGGTATATTATATGATTTAGTCCATAATGAATGTAGGTATATTATATAATACAGTCAATAATGAATGTAGGTATATAATATGAATCAGTCAATAATGAATGTAGGTATATTATATAATACAGTCAATGATGAATGTAGGTATATTATATAATACAGTCAATAATGAATGTAGGTATATTATATGATTCAGTCAATAATGAATGTAGGTATATAATATGATTTAGTCAATAATGAATGAAGGTATATTTATATGATTCAGTCAATAATGAATGTAGGTATATTATATGATTCAGTCAATAATGAATGTAGGTATATAATATGATTCAGTCAAACATAAAAGTAGGTATATAATATGATTCAGTCAATAATGAATGTAGGTATATTATATGATTCAGTCAATAATGAATGTCGGTATATTATATGATTCAGTCAATAATGAATATAGGTATATTATATGATTTAGTCCATAATGAATGTAGGTATATTATATAATACAGTCAATAATGAATGTAGGTATTTAATATGATTCAGTCAATAATGAATGTAGGTATATTATATAATACAGTCAATAATGAATGTAGGTATATTATATAATACAGTCAATAATGAATGCAGGTATATTATATGATTCAGTCAATAATGAATGTAGGTATATTATAAGATTCAGTCAATAATGAATGTATGTATATTATAAGATTCAGAGTTGTTTTTTGCTCTTTAAACATATTCTTTGAATTTTCTTTTTATGTTTTCACTGTCTATCATATATCTCTCAAACCGCTCTGGTGGCATAATGGTTATAGCGTTCGCCTTGGATGCGGGAGGTCGTGGGTTCGATCCCCGGTCGAGTCATACCAAAGACTAACAAAAATGATACTAACAGCTGCCGCTTGACATTCAGCATTAAGAGGTTAGTGTTAGGACTGGACAGCCTGGTGTCAGGATAATGTGACTGGGTGGGACATAATGATACATGTCTGTTGCATGACGCCCCAGTGCTAGACATCACTATAAACTGCCTCACTGCAGACATCGTAGCAATATGTATAAAACATTGTTTTGAGCTACTTTAAACAAAAAAAAAACAACAAAAAAAAAAAACAACATAATCTTATCACACCACACATATATCTCTCGTGTTGAAAAACTAAAATATTTGATTTGTTGCTCAAGATTACACAAATCAAATGATGTACAAAGAATAGGTAAATATAAAGTTCATCAATGACCCTTCGAGGTGTTTGAAGTTTAGTCATCTGCGGTACATTGATGGAACGCCGTTTTAAAAAGTTGTGTATGATATCGTGTTGTCTCTTTGCATATGTTATTCGTAATTTGAACAATGTTTATGACACAATAAATAAGCATTAAACGTAATTAGAAAAAACAAAAACAAACAGAAGAAGACGGACTTAGAGAAACATTATTTTTAATATACTTTTTTATATAAAAAAAAAAAACATTTTACCGAAAGTAAGGAAATTAAAGGGAGAATATATTTTGGAGAAACTTACATCGAACAGAATGTTTGTGATCATAAGAATGCAAACGACATGCCATCACCGCATGTGGAACGCCTCGGACGTGCCTTACTGAATGCTCTGAGATATTCTAAGGGAACAAAATGTTTTGAATTTGAAAAATTGAAAGCTATACTGTATTACAATGGATAGACTTCATGAGAATGAATTTTTTTCCCAGCCTAATTCGTAACTTCATACACTAGTTCGACTTACTGAAAATGAAATTTTATTTTACCAGCCTAATTCGTAACTTCATACACTGGTTCGACTTACTCAAAATGAAATTTTATTTTACCAGCCTAATTCGTAACTTCATACACTGGTTCGACTTAATCAAAATGAAATTTTATTTTACCAGCCTAATTCGTAACTTCATACACTGGTTCGACTTACTCAAATTAAAATTTTATTTTACCAGCCTCGTAACTTCATACACTGGTTCTACTTACTGAAAATGAAATTTTATTTTACTAGCCTAATTCATAGCTTCATTCACTGGTTCGACTTACTCAAAATGAAATTTTATTTTACCAGCCTAATTCGTAACTTCATACACTAGTTCGACTTACTGAAAACGAAATTTTTTTTTACCAGCCTAATTCGTAACTTCATACACTGGTTCGACTTACTGGAAATGTAATTTTATTTTATCAGCCTAATTGGTAACTTCATACACTTGTTCGACTTACTAAAAATGAAATTTTATTTTACCAGTCTAACTCATAACACCATACTCTGGTATACTATCCATTTCAGAAAATAAATCATTTTTCCTTATTGGTTACGATAATATTTTCACGGATCTATAAAACAATATATTTTACTTCACAAATGGAATGAATGAAACAAAGATTGTTGTAACTGCTACGACTTCACATTTACATAAAAATGGTCAGAGGAAATTATTGCAAATGGTGACAGAAGATAGTAAACTCATAAAAGCTGAAACACAATTCAAAAGCTGTTGCCACTCAAGAAATACTTATGTGGTGTATATATTATGATGAGAAAACTCTGTCTTGTTGTTTAGAGTTTTCCATCATAACCTTCTTCTCATTTCTGAATACGAGAAGAAATTTATCGCTACTTTAAGAGAAGCCTTGACTCTTGATCAGAGAGGAAGAGAGAGAGACAGAGAGAGAGAGAGAGAGAGAGAGAGAGAGAGAGAGAGAGAGAGAGAGAGAGAGAGAGAGAGAGAGAGAGAGAGAGAGAGAGAAGTTTGGCTCTCTTAAGATAGGTGTCACTTATGGTGGTGTAGATACGGTTACATCTTCTTGTGGGGAAAACTTTGGCTACGAGAAGGTACCAAGAATCTGTAAGAAATAGACACGACACTCTCTGATCCTGAAATCGCACCTTATATATATATATATATATATATATATATATATATATATATATATATATATATATATATATATATATATATATATTCTAAAGATACAAAATGTAAATTTATTTATGTTGAAATTACATACAATATATTACAATACTTATTAAATAGTTCTTCCACAATCTACTATTTCATTTGTTCATTCATTTCTCTGCATTTTGAATACAAGTGATTTAAATATCCAAAGAGCCTAAAATTCAATAACTGTAATAAATGTATTTTATTCTATTTAATATAAGATAACGACCTGAAAAAGATCTGTGAGTGTTATACCTAATATTTAAAGAATATATAGTTATTCTTAATTAAATTATAACATGAAGCTAGTAATTATTTCAAACAAATACTAATGAACATCGAAGCTGTAAAATATTTCATTACATTATGATTGTGGGAAAAGGAAACTTAATAATAATACATTATAAATACAATGAACATCAATTCAGTAAAATATAAAATCAGTAAAATATTTCATATTAGAAAAGAGAATTCACTATTACATTATATTGATAAAAAAATAATTCAGAAGGATATTACAACTTACTATAAAATCTTTAACTTTTAAGAGCGAGTATAAAGCATAATTTTCTTACCTGTAAGAAATAGACACGACACTCTCTGATCCTGAAATCGTACTGAGACCATGCAGCACAGAGCCTTTTTTATATATTGGAAGCTGCTGATCATCAGCGTTTTCATTCAAGGTCAGAGAGGTCTATCTAATGAACTATGCCTATGTTCTAAAAAAGTCACGGTTGTTTCTTGTGTGATAGTCAAGGACAGCTTTAACTTTATATCAAGTTTAGGGGGGGGGAGAGATAGAGAGTGTGTGTGTGGTCAGTAATTTTCCTAAGTGAACGACCTTTGAATCATACATTGTCTATAACCTTCCTAATTGTAAGTGGTCATTCACATTCCGAACTTTTAAACCCAAACTAATTTCCTAGACTGATTATCAATTACTTTGTTCCCAGCTTCACAACGCAATTAATAAGGTTTTATTGATTGAATTGTGCGACAGTAACGTCATTCGTGGCTTCTATCTGTTGTTGAACTATCGAACTCGGCTATTAATTAGGTTTTTTTTCCATTACCAAGAGGAAGCTGATAAAATAAGGATAATGTTTAATCTGAATTCATTTCAGCGTTCCATTATATTCAGGATATGAATTATTGATTGGGCCATGCTTCTCTCACAATCCAAATCAATATTATAGCATTCCCCCCAAATTCGCAGGATTTTGTCTTTCAATAACTTATAAATTTCAATATATTCTACACAAGTTACTATTATCGTTTCTTTCTTTTAAAATTGATATCTTGATAATACCTCCTGGTTATTTTAGCCGCGTCCTCGAGGCTAGTAAAAAATATTGATAAATATACGAGGAAGAAGAAAGAAAAATATTAAATATAAAAAATTACAATGCTTAGGTAGATGAAAAAATTACAATGCATTGGTAAGTTGATAAATTGCAAAAAGGCAAAGAGAACAATGTTCATTGCAGTACATATTGTGAATTTAAAAAAAAAGAATACAATAAAATGTATAATAATTAATAAACTGTAAGATGCATTGACAAATACACCAGAATAGACATGATAAAAGATACATGGAAAAATGTACCATAAAATGTGTAATAAGGAGCCAATATAAAATGAAAGAGATTACAATTACACAAGGAAGTAAAAATATTAGAAAGACCAAAATACAATGCACTGACAAAAGTTAAGAAATAGGAAAAGACAACAATTTACCGTGTAGTACCTCGATGAGGAATGCAGAAAAACAATATATTAAGAAAACATTAAAATATGCAATGAGACAGGATAATATGAAATGTGACCTCAGTATGGTAAAGAAAGGGTTTATTCAAGGGAATCCTACGAAAACACATTTGACACATTCAATGAAGTTCAAGTACAATAGTGAGAATCTGAAATGAAAAAAAGATGTTTTTTATATTATTTTTATTTCTATTTCATTTTAAATAACGTCAGCAGAACATAATTAAAATTGCGGTGTAAGTGCTAGGTTAATCGGTGAAGTCAGTAACTTCTGTTAATTTATCTGAACAATTATTTTTCCGTCATATGTCTTTGACCTAGGATCATGCGCTCAATAGTACGGCGTGTTCATAATATTGAAGTGATACTCCTTATTAATAGGATGTAAATTATGACTTTCCAATATATTATTTCATACCTGAGATAAGTAACATTTTAATTTATGAAGATAACTAAAACGTGTGGCATAATGCTGTATGATCTCTTGTAAACCAAGTATCTATATAATGTTTATCCGTGATGCTTTCATTAAACTAGAATTGATACGTCTTCAATGTCATCTGGACAACTGGGGTATGTAGCGCAATATATAGGTCATGTTTACGTGTTGCTATAAAATACATAAACAATAATGCGGATTCCTTGGCGTTCTGGAATAACATATGTAATCGATAGATACGATCGTTCAATTTGATTGATAAATTCCATTAAAACATGCTGTGAAATCAGTATAGCAAGTGAATTCGCCTGCTGAAAATTTGGCTGTAGGACTAATTCACTGAGTCTCAACCGTTTGAGCTGCAATCCTTTCTTCTTTTTTCTAATATTCTTGACGAATATTTCGACAATGGCAAGCATCGCTTGCTCTAATAGTATAAGTGTTTTAGAAGAAATCATCTCCATATCGAGCAATAACACTGAAAATTTAAATTTCATTATTCTTTTGCTTTAGCATATTTGTATAACTTGCTAAATATTGTGATGTTTTCATTGTCAGCATTCCAAATAGATATTTACCTATTTTATCAATGAAGAGCAAAACTTCTCTCATGATACATTTGAAGAATGCAAAACACCTTTCTGAATTAACTAATTTTTTAATGAGATTGTTATATTAACTGCATATTCATTGTAATTCGTATTGACTT